CAAAAGTAATCTTAGGTGCAATACTTATCAAAAGCACCCCACAACACTTGCACTAGTTTATGCTAAAACCGTGCGCCAATTGTTCTCAATTCTCATAGCGCGTAACGACTACACCGTGACACGCCAAGTTTAATCATTTTACAAAATTATTTGGTTTATTCTAACACCTTCCCTCAAATGCTCATTCACTCCAAATCGCCATGGCAGTGAAGGCATACGATGTCGCACTAAACCTTTGAAAAAAAAACTAGAAAAATGACACCTTTTCTCGGTTTTTACCTTACACAAAATTTTCGCACACATGATTAAACTAATTCGATGCAGACTTTCAACCTTTGGCTCGGTGGTTTTCCTTCTGAAAATTTTCCACCGCATCACGTAACTTACCAAATTTAAACTGGTTGAAATCTGCATCTCCAATGCAATACTGAGTAGCCATAATTAACCCGCCTGTGCAAAAGTTACTCATATTGACCGCCCCCTTTTCTCATGGTTCCTTTAATCGTACATGATGGGGTCGCGGTCCCGGCGCTTTTCGAGAACGCCAGAGGCTACAAAATGCACAAACTCTAAGCAGTGCACTGCCGTCACACCTCATTTTCCACTTTGGCCTGTTCTCCTCAGGAATTTGAAAGGGACGCGAGGAGCAGGGGTGAAACCTGTGCCATTTTTCTTTTGTGTTCTCCCCTACGCGGTATTTAGCCACTCTGCGCTTTCGACTTTGACCCATCGGGCAAGGCCGCTTTCCCGAAGTCGTCGAACGCAACCGCGTTTTTCGTTGGGGTAACGCACCTCGTTTCCCCGCTCTACACCTGGCTCGCCGCTTGTACCTCTCTGAACGCCACCATTGACGTTTCCTGGAACGGATTAATGGCCTAGCCTGTCGTCTTTGTTGGGAAGGAGTGGGACCTGCCCTAGGCTCACGAAGTGCCGAACGCCTCCGCTTCTTCCTTTTTCTGCGATGTTTGCAAACCAGCTCGGTGTTATCGCTGCACTGCTGAAGCGTGGCGTTCTTGCTCTCATCAGTTACTGCACTAACCATGCCTACATTTGACGATGTCGAAACGTCCTCTTGAGGCACGGAGAAGGTTTCGAGCTTCTTACTGGGCCCATTAGGGCTGCTGGCACCTTCGTAATTCATGCAAGGAGCGTCTTTCGACATCGTCCCTACCTCCAGACCCGCCAAGGCCTCGTTCTCAGCATACTCTACCTTGATGGATTCTAAAATACGCAGGCGCGATCTCTGTTTCAAGCGCTTCATGACGCACCTTAACTTCCGGCGCTCTTTGACGCCTCTCGCTTTCAAACTCCGGTCTGAATCTTTCTTTCTTTTTGCTAACAGAAGTTCCGAATCTCCTGATTAGCTCTGCTTTAACAACTTCGTAGTTGTTCGCGTGCTGCTCACTGAGTCGCGCAACAACATCCACTGCCTCGCAGCGCAGAACCGTGAGTATCTTCTGAGACCACGTGTCTCGCTCACACGACAGTTGCCTACACTTTCGTTCAAACAGTCTAAGATACAGGCCCATATCCCATGATACCTCATATGGCTGCATGTACCTGGACATCTCGAACTCTGCCTCAATGTCGAGAAGAAGTGCTCCTCGCTGGGTTCCAACCTCATACTCAACTCATAGTCTTGTTCGAAAAACTTTGTCTTGAGGCCTTCTCTTTTGTCTCCACTCTTTCCTTCCATCTGAGCTGCTCTTAGTTTTCTTTCGATGAGGTCCCATTCTTCGCTTAGTTCCTCATCATCAGCCCCCAAATCATTAATCGCTTGAACGATTATGGGTTTTCGTGCCAAACCCTTTGTATCGATCCCCAATTTTTCACACAACAGCAACAAGTCTGACTTCTGCAGCTCCCGTAAGTCCACGATCGTACTGAGTGCTCGCTACTTCCAAAAAAACTTTCTGAAACGGCGAAACTGAGTCTTTCGGCAAAGTTAACTACCAGTTCTAAAATTTACCCTCGTTTAGAACCTGGTTCACTCAAAGGAAAAGCCAAGCACTCCCCCATAAGTGATCCATGTCTCGAGCCAGCTGCTTCGCTTGGGCCGACTGTTGTTGTTCCTTGTAGCTTCGTATCCCCCCGCTGCCAACCAGTTGTCAAGGGTCGGAAGGAAGGTCGCTGGAGGATACGAAAACAAAACAGGTTTATGGCACTATTTACACTTATTTACAGCATAGAAAGGTTAGGAGTTCACAAACCACGAACGTGGTGGTTGAACCGTTACATGGTTCAGAGCGACGTCCTGCACTCTGCGGCGTCGTTATAAGCCCTGTCGGGCTCCTCCTTCTTGAGTGGAACACCAATCACACACACACAATAGGCGAGGGGTATGAGCATGTACGGCCCACGTGAACATCCAATATTGAGTCGTGATCACTGCACTGCAAGGTGGCGCCAGAGGGGCTCTTCCTCGTCGTGTGTGTGTCGCTAATCGAGGGGTCCCAAGCTCCCGACAGCAGACATCAAACGGTCCGCCAATCTGTCCGCTCAATTAGCAGGGCAATTTGTGGTGGCGGCCACGGTTTCTTCCAAGGAAGACGCTGTCTTTGTTGTCCTCTCTGGAACGGCGTACGGCGTCGTGGCGACACGACGTCTCATCCTCCGGTTAGCAGGGACAATACCTGGTGGGCATAGGCAGCGGGCCAGTCGGCTACTTGTTTGAGGATTGAAAGAGCGCCGCTCCCCCGTCATCCCTGGACGCTGGTTCTGAGAAAACTGGGTTCCAGGCGTGGGAACGCTGCCCGGCTACGCTTCCCAGCGACAGCATGGCGCCTACTGATGGCGGTCATAACAGCCCGCAGTAACTTTTCCTGAACAATCTGCAGCTGAAAATTTCAGTTCAGGCTACTCACGAACAGAAGCCTCGGGCACACAAAACAGATACGATGCAGCTATATTAAGTGTGCAAAATGACCTTCCTTTGACGTGCACACAAAAAAGACACGATGCAGTTATATTTACTGTGCAATATGAGCTACCTTTGACGTGCATTCTCATAATGAAAATGGCGCAAAAAGCGTACCTGAATGCCCATTTTTCCAACCGAAGCCTATCACAAGCACGTCAAGAACTGTTATAGCTGTCTAGGGAGGCCAATGAAAGTTGCAATGATGTCAGACCTGATCTGTAATGAGCGTAGGCGTGCACAGTTTCTCGTCGAGGAGGAACAAAGGTTCATCGCAGAGCAACCCTTCCTTATTATGTCAATGTGTGGGCCCAATTTTGCACAGACGTGGTGCCTCCCGCCTATTATGTCAATGTGCGGGGCTGTGTTTCCACACCCCCCTCGTGGGTAACTATGGGAGTGACCGCCCCCTTGGCCCAGTCCCGTGCCGAGCCTGTTGTAGTGAGGGAGTGACCTCAGGAGACCTCCTCCAGGTACGTACGGGCAAAGCATCGCGGCTGCTACGTGTTCGTTTTGCAGGTGCTTGCGCACCATGTGTGTGCGGGGAAGTCAGTTGGAGCAGACACTAATCCACCTAACGTGCTTCACAGCTTTATGTGGCCCATGATGAAGCCACCTGCATTGCCAAGTTACCGCCCAATTCTGTGCCAGAAACCGCAAATGGTCCACATACAAAAAGCGATATTAATGTATTTAGCGAGGATAAATGAATCTTGGTGCGTGTATTATGCTACCTGGAGCTATAAGAAACGCTTGCAGTAAAGAACATGCAAGCAACAAAAATGATGGCACCACCCCATTAAGCAAGAATTCGTCTTAACAGAGTTCATTTTAATGCGAGTTTATTGTAACCTAACCTTATATCAATGAAATAAAAATGGGAAGCCGAGTGTACACAGTCTATGTTACGAAGAAGTGTACCTGCAAGCAGAAACCAAGAAATTGGAGAAGAAGAGGCGAACAACGACACAGCTTGTCCAGTTTCCACTTGCAGGTACACGTCTTGGCAACAATATGTTGTTTCAGCACGGTGCCTTACCTCAGGCAGTGAAGCATGAAAGCATTTATCCAGGCACACAAAATTTACGCAGACTTCTGACACCGCAAAAGTCCTATAAACCCACCAACTAGCAAAATGAAGTCTCATAGCGAGAGATGAGCCAGTGCCACTCGCTTTATTTACAATAAGACCACGTATAAGCCACGGTACAAAAAAAGGAAAGCTTTACACTTATGTGTTCAAAGTTCATAAAAGCTCACTGCACTTAACTGCCACCTCACACACGTAGATTTGGCAACACTTGAAGTCTGGAATGACGAAGCTTTCGCAAGGCGACGCCTGTGCACAGTGTCAATACGTGCTAATCTCTAGGGTCTATAGCAGGGGGTCTTGCACACGCGGCCAGCCGACCATTCCCTATTTGCCCGCATATGGCATTCATCGTCCTAAAGTATGACCTTGTGGATGTTTGCAACATTACTAAATGGTGCTCACATTATATTCCCACCTATCATATATATTTAATGCTTTGTTCAAGGAAACTACGGAAATGTGGTTGCTCTTTTGTCAAAAAAAAACTACACTCAAGTCTAAATTTTAGGTATTGAGAAGGTCGGTATCGATATGTTTCTGAATGAATACATCAAATTCATTGTCATAAACAATTTATATATGAGACATGGGAAAGGCCTTCTATCAACATTATGTTTCGTTTTGTTCAAGCTCACCCCCCTCAGATTTTCAACGCTTTGCTCTCCCAGCCTTCTGTGGGACTACATTCACGATTGCGGCCGGGTACCTGATGAAAGTTTGGTACCTTTAGCTTATCTCCAAGATGAGCTGGCAACCACGTTCAATTCATTTTGACAAGGAACTTTGGCAACTGTACATTACATGGACAATAATGCACGAGCGAAAGTGTGTTGTGCTTTACATAGTGCAGCGTTCCAAGGGTACTCAAGTATAGTGGCACCTTAACAAATCGCAAAGTGCATTACTTTGACTTCCCAGACGAACTACATTTGCACCACGTGATGCAACGAATTTCTTGTTGAAGGCAGCTCGCAGGGTAGACATGATTAAATAAAACAAAGCTGTATTTTTCTAATCTACAGAAAATAAGCATGTGTTTACAAGCTGAGCTCATTTGTGTTTTCAATTTATTCAGAACGTGAAAAATGCAACATGGTAAACGTAAAGCTGAGGAAGCAATGCCGCCTATCAAGTCCATACTTTTTTATAACTGCTTATTTGAGAGCATATGTTTAAGAACATCACACTGTCAAAACACTAATTTACAGTAAGTGAAGCATAAATGCCATGACTGACAAAGAAAAATACTAGAATATTACCTCACGAAACAAAGTGATGCAGCTCCACGGTGCTCCTGACACGCGTAAAATAAAAGAGCACATCTTACCAACGTCGGCTCGTGGTCAAGTCTAGCATATTATTAACATTGATGTTAGCTTCTAGTATTTAGGCCTTGGAGGATGTGCGCAGCATAGTAGCTCTGAAGCTTCCTGCTAGCATAAGCTTGGTGCGTTTTCAGTACTCTAGCTTTTGTCAGTGCACGTTCTTGTGTGGTTTGAACTTTCCAAGAAGATGAACTGGGCATTGCTCCCACGACTTATCGGATGCCGGCATAGTGTTGAGATGTAGGCGCAATGTCGCTGCGGCAGCACATTCAAGCTAAACCCTCCAAGTACGCCGTCTTAAACTATAAACACAAACACCTTTCACACAACGTGACATTTTTTAATATTGTACTGTGCTTTAAACAAATGCACGTTGTAAGCACTCTGAACGCATTTTATAGCTTCAAGTAGCCAAGCCTGGTCACTGCGCAGAAGCCGGCTTAAGCTCGAACACTTTGGTAGCTTTGCACTCGTGGTACAGTACGCCCGCTTCTGCTGACTCGCGTGTCGTCAACAGGTGCCACCGCCGAGCCCATAGCCCAGGGGCACTCGGTACATCTCGTAGGCGAACTCTTCGGTGTGCGAGTCGTCCACGTAGCCACCGATATAGTCCACCTCTAGTCGGAATGGGCCCGAGATGCCGTCGGCGAGCGTAATGCCCATGTGCTTTACGTTGCTGAGGTCGATGGCGCCCTGCTTGTCCTGAATGCGGCCCTTGTTGCCCACTAGGAACTTGGAGAAAGGTATGCGCGTCACCTGCCAGTAGGGCCCGCCGCGGGTGTACAGCGGGAAGTGGTAAAGCACGTTCCAGGTCACGTCGAAGTAGTGGTCGGCGCCCAGGTTGATCATGTAGGAGCGCCCGTCGCCACGAACGCGCAACTCGAGGTGCGTGAAAGGGGTCCAGTCATACGCAGCCGGCATGTTGAAGGGCCGCCGCGCCCGGGGCGAGCGCACGTTGCAGTAGCCGGTCTCCACCACCTTTCCGTCCTTCGGAACGGTGGTGTCCAGGTAGCCCGAAAAGACAGCTCCCGCCGTCAGCTGCGCTCGGGAGAAGCCCTCGTTGTTGTCGCTGTCGGCAGTCACCGTCCAGTCGGCGGCGATGCTTTGGGCGTCCCAGAACACTTGGCAGTCACCGTGCACGTACATGGCGGGGTCACAGCGCAGAGTCTCGACTAGATCGTCGCCAAACTGGCGTAAGTCTTGCTTCAGCACATTGTAGCTATCTCTGAACAGTGTCCTGTAGTCGACCTCGGGCTGCGGCCGCTCGTAGTCTTCGCTGCCCTTGCGGCTTGGCTTGTAGAAGCAGGAACGCGCGGGCACAACCACCGAGGCGCGCAGACTACGGGCGGTAGCAGACGACGCACGAATAGCCACCGCCGACAGCTGATAGAGCGCCATTTGTCCACTTCTCGATCACACACCCGCTGCGCCAACAGCGGCGCGCAGGTCGTCGCTCAATCGATCCCGGCACGAAGCAAATCGACAGGCAAAGCAAGCAGGTGTTGGCCAAGATGTAAGCACAGTAAGAGCATCAGACGTCGATAATGGCACTGAAACGCAAGGTCCTCCACACGACCCTTGGCAACAACGGCAGAAATGCAAAGAAATACGAAAGCTGCTATTTGAAGCAACGCCAGCGTGTTTGTGTCTACAAAAGCCGCCGATGACGATTTGCCTGCGTCACTTCCTGTTCCGCCTCCATCTTGCTCAGATCGGCGTCATTTTGACCGACTCTTGCGCATGGTTTTCGGCCAAATCTCGACGGGCAGGAACACATCAAAGCGGTGAGTAAACGCGAGCGTACGCGAGAATAGAATGAATTAACCCTTCGACACAGCCTGGACACCGACCGCGCAGTGCTAGGCCAGTCAGGACGCTTGTAATGTCTCGCCGAAAAGGGGGCCCCGCCTGCCTTGGGACGCCCGTACCGCGCAGCCGCAAAATGGCCGCCTGCACTTATGTGTTAGTATTTGTTTTGTTAACTAGCGAAGAAGCGCACTTTAGCCGTTGCCCTAAAGCTTTACAATGGCCGAGGTTGGCCAGAAACGTAGCTGCTTCGAAAGCGTGCGACGGCATGGTGAAATACTGAGTCGGAGACTTACCTCGCGGCACTTCAGTCGCGGACGCTAAGTTGATGCGGCCGATCGGCACACTGCTGCTGTCCGCGTGGCTGGCAAGGAGGAGCTGCGCAGCCGCAGCTCAGTCGTCGCACTTGTAGCGCACCGTCTGGCTTCCCGCCACTCTCGGTGTCATGTCACTTGCTCGCTTCGCAGGGCGCATTTGCCATGCCGCGATATCTTGCACGTTTCTAGTTAGGTCGTGAAACGAATAGAAACGCCCGCTGCTTCACCGTGTGTGGAAATCCATCAGAAACCTTTTCGTAAATGTGACGAGGCATGGAACGTCGCTGCACCGAAGGGTACTCGTCGGTGTGACCCATAAAAACAATCGATTGCATGTAGTGGTGCTGCAGAATTTTTATAATGGAAGGTAGAATCAGTCTGTTAGGGTATCATACCTGCAAGATCTAAACGAAGCTCTTTCTGGGCTAGTTGCTGTCACTGTCTGGGTGATTCGTTCGTGTTCTGGGATAGTTGCTGTCAGGGTGATTCGTTCGTGTCCGCTGTGTTTTACACCAAGAAGCATCAGCATGATACATCCACGACCGATTCATGCGAGATATCTAGAACAAAAAAAAAAAAATGAGCTCTTTTGATTGCTTCGAGAGGTAAAAAGCAGCTACTGTTGGAAACAGTAATAATGTAATTTTTGTTGGTTTTCCTAGAGCAAGAGAAAGTGTGCTGCTCAGTGCACAAAGAAGGATGCGAAATGTACGAGAAACTCTCAGCTTTTTATTCAATAAAGCTTACCTTTGTTATGACGAAGGCTTCTTAGTAGAAACATTGCAAATGCAGTCTTTAGGTTGCCCTAAATTGTAGCCCACGTGCATGAATGCCTCTTTTTGTTCTTATGTTTTACCTTTCATTTTTTGTATATTCATGCTGTTAGGACAGAGGAAAAGAATAGCAAGTGTTTGGCTAATTGTGCACAAAGCTGCCAAACGCTTTGTATGCAGGTGAGGTGAGCTGTACTCCAAACGAGTCTCCAAGCTTCGAATACAGAACTGAGCGAGTTGGAACGGATTCACACTAGGGCTGTGCAGTACTAAAAAAGAAAGAAAAAAAGAGAACTACCAGGTCTACGTGGAACGCACAGCATAGTCACAGCAAAAGCTGGACGAGACTCTTTTCTAGAGCCTTTTTTCAAACACCTCGGGGGCAACTACTAAAAGCGCACTTGCGGGGTACCCATTACTATGGCATAAATTATAATTTTTGTGCAGTAGGGAGGCATCTGCTATGCCATCCTTTGTCCTTCTTTAGAGAAGTGTGGTACCTGCTACACACTGACAATAAATTTTTTGCTATTTTTTTATGCTGTGGCTGGCGGTGAAGAATTATGCCAAAAGCTTTTATAATGGGCAGGAACATTTGACGCCCCGCAGCGTCGTCTGCGCAAGCAGGCGTTTGGTGTTTGGCAACATCACAAACAGGGTGTTTACACCCCTCCCGCTTAGCCACGCATGGCTTTGCCGTGTTCGAGGAAAAGGGGATCCTGAGGGTCCGGCAGGATCCTGAGGGGAACACACCCCTTTGGCCTGGGCTTCACATGGACGGCACCCCTAAGCTGACCCACCCAGGAGAAATCGGCAGTCGTCTTTTCCTATCTTTCTTTCTCTACATCTTCGTTATTTCTCACTTTTTATTTGTCCTCTCCTCTCTTTTGCTTACTTGCGATTTTTCCTGGCGAGAAGGGAAGCCTCCTGTGTTCACCCCACCTTGGGATACGTCACATTTGGTTATAGTGGTGGTGTACAGCTGGCATATGCAAGCCATTCCTTGATGCCTTGCAGCGTCCCCTTGTTGGGCTCAATGGTGTGTGGCTGCCACTGCTACCGAACACAATCCATATTTTATGGCTGAAAACTTTCAACTCTCCATTGATCGCTCTCTGAAGAGGGCGCACACCAAAGCAAGCTTTCAACTTCTGCAACTCAACAAAAACAACTTCTCACGCTATCATGTTATCCGTAGTGACACACCTGCAAAACCAGTCAGAAAACTCTCCCTATTTCTAGTTTCAAGGTGCCTAATGAACACACTTGCAACAAGTTACAAAGCAACGAAAATGGCCAGTAGAGACCTCCTTATTGAAATCAGGGACGAAGAGCAATATGAAAAACTATCCAACTTGAAGACCTTTGGTGATATCCCCATCACTGTATCAGCACATCGTTCAATGAACAGTGACCGAGGAGTTGTATCAGAAGATGACCTAGTTGACCTGACAGATGCCGAACTTGTTGACAACTGGAAAGACGAGATTGTAGTCACTGTCCAGAGAATGAAGCGAGATGGCAAAGATATTCCAACTAAACACACAATCGTTACCTTTGGCTCCAGTGTTCTTCCTGAGACACATGTAACTGGGTACACAAAGCTTCGTGTTCGCCCATACATCTCTAATCCTTTCCATTGCTTTCAGTGTCAGAAATATGGCCATGGCTCGCAAAGCTGTCGTGGTCGGCAAACTTGTGATCAATGGGAAGCTTCAAGCCACACGTCCAACCTCTGCTAAAAACCAGTGCACTGTGTGAACTGTGACTGAAATCATACTGCATACACACGATCCTATTCATTCCGGAAGAAAAAAAAAAGCATAGGTGGAAGTGCTGCGCCTATTGTGCCATTTAGTGCCAATCTGACCTGCTGCACATAAATAGCAATTTTCGTGATATTTGTCAATTGCATGTGTAAACCATGAGATCTAGTCGATGGTTATCGTCGACCGAGGGAGAATCAGTGTTGGCTACACTAATGACGTGGCCGGATCCATATTCAGTGGGGTCCGATCGCGTTGTAACTCTGTTCACTCTTGGGGCTTGCTAGAGCTCGTCTCATTGCTGTTATCGCCGTGGTTGCCCCGCAAAAGTGAGGACACCAACATGAATAACTGTGAATTACCTAGTAATACAATGAACTCTCAATAATTTGTAGCGGCTGGTAACGTGGCACGATCATGCACTAAACCGCAGTGTGCACTTACAAGTGCAAGTGTGCATCTCTTGAAGTGCCTCATCGCCACCAATAAACACAGCAGTAGTTGCCCAAATTTCCCACCAGAAAATCTTTTCTTCCTTTTAGCCAGAGTGCGGAAAATGTACTGGCACTCGCATGATTGTGGTATAGCGGGCAGTGCCGATGCCAAGGAGCATTTCCAAACTATTGCAGGGTCCAGGATACGCAGCGACTGAAATAACTATAGAATGGACACTGTCGGCCTTCCATGATACATATGTGCGCTTCTCTACCGCGGTGTAATACTGAGCGACAACTGACAGTCTCATTGAAACACGGAGTGGTTGCGTAGACTCTATTATCTTCTGGTTAATTGCATGCAGCACGGCGCCTATGCCATCGCTGCCGGGCTGTATGCCGTACCATGCACGTGGATTTGCTGTGTGGATTTTTCTAGGCCAATTCGCTTCAGACCGAGCACAGATGAGCAGAGTAGTTATTGTGTTTAATAACAAACTTGCGCCAAGCGAAGTGCGCCGCAATTATCTGTACTCGGGGTCTGGGTGCAACTTCCCTCTGCCTTTGAATCCGGTGGCCTCCGGCCGGCTGGTAAGCTCATTAGTACTGAAAGTTTAATGAAAACCATGGCAATTTTTCTCAGTAGAGATAATTGTGATTTACAATGAATATTGACCCTAGAAAGCTGCTCCAAAACTAACTCGCATTGCTCCAAAACACACCTTTTGATGCTCCGAACCTGCTCTAAATCTCCCCTTGTACTGCGCCAGAGCTGTTCCAAAACACTCAAGTCCACTTCCACTAAGAGCTGTGCCGCCGCCGTCACCTGTTCTTGCTCATGCCGTTCGTGCTGCCGCCGAAGCTCTGAGTGAGACCACGCCGCCGCCCAGAGAGACCATGCCGCCGCCGCACATTTTATTTTCGGCGCGCCCCCGTTTGTCCTATTTTTACCTGAGCGGGAATCTGGGCATAAAATGCATCACTTCACCTTCTTTTCAGCAGCATTAAAATTTTCGAGAGCGGCATTTGTGGTGTCTTGACTGCTTTCTAGTTTCCGTGCATGCATGCCTTGCCTATATCAGGGCCCTAAAACAGCTTGTGAAGATATACAGGCTAGCATGTTGTTCTCTCGCTGTTTCTCATTCTCTTGGTGTCCTTTGGGACGCCCGAACAGTGATTCACGTGACATGATTAAGGCACATAAGGTAGAATGGTTCATATGGGAGAAGTATCAGTTGTAAATTGTTTTCGACCCTGCTTTGCCGTGCATTTGCCATCCGCCACTTCTGTTTTTCCTCTTGCAGGATTATCATGTGCGATTAACTTGTGATTTGGCTGCATTTCGATTTTCGATATCACAGGTGGAAATTAAAAGAGCGTAGCCGAGAATATTGAAATCCTGATAGGCTCTAAGCTTATCGCTCACATTGCGCACAGGCTGCATGAAGACATAAATGCCGATGAGACTGTGAAAATTGTAATAAAGAGAGTGTAGTGCAGTGCAATCGAGAACAAAGAACAAGCTAAAGGAAAAGACTTCCAATTATTTCATTCTCCCTATGAACGAAATATTTACAGCGAAGAGAACGCAGCTTTCCATAACAAAGGCCAACCCACTTCGAGGGTTTTTGTATATTTTTTGATTGCGAGAAGAAATTAATAAACACTCTCCACAGGCTTTCATTATCCCTGTCATGTTGCATATAAAGTGCAAATAAATTATGTACGCATGCTGTATGCTGTTGCCATGGATTAAATCCTGTGAGCTCTATTCGCAATGTTCATACACTGTCGCGCCGCCTAGCGGAATTCAGGAGTGTCCTCTTAGAGATGATCAGTAGGCAGATGCTCCTAATGCTGCCTTGTTCGGCGGTGCTAGCCGTAGTGTTAACGCGTTAGCAAGAAACGAACACAAATCACTTTGTATGTTTCGTGCATCAGTGACTATACCAGACCACCGTGACATGATAAATCTGATTCTTGCGAGACGCAAAGTTTTCGTGGAAATGCGGGGTAACTCGTGCTTTCGCTTATAGCCCGCATAGTATACATATCAGCTTTGCGAGATTTTCTGCAGCCACTTTGGACAGCTAAA